CTCCTGAATAAAATAACATTTGGGTATCGGGTAAAGCTGTTTCCGGACTCTTAGGTTCTGCAGAGATTAGGTTACTGAACTTTATGTGAAAAGACCTACTTACCTATATAGACTAGGCCATTCGTGTCCAGTCGACTGGCTTCAGGAGACGAAATGATTGTCGTCACCTTCTCATCAACAATAACTGTAGTTCGATGTTCATGTCTGCAATAGTCAGATCAACGGCTGCCAAATGCCTTCAACGACATTCTCAATCCATTTACAAACTAGTTTTACTATTTGGCTGGTAGTAATTGTGCTTCAAACAAATTCCGTCTACAAAAAATTTAAGTTTTCCGCAGATCTGATCATAAAACATGCTTCAGACAGCTACAAGGCCAGGCTCGACCGAAAGGTCAATCTTTTTGTTGATACTGACTTAGCTGGGGATCGAACAACATCAGGTTCTGTACAAAATATAATCCCTAGAAAGAATCGCAAACAACCTTAGGGAAATACCTTTCAACGACAACTCGATGCCATTTTCCTTTGACTACGGAGAGATTTGTTGTCACAGATTTCAGCTTGTCTTTTCCGAGATTCACAGCAGCATAAACTCGACCCTTTCTGAGGTGGATAATGAGGAAATCGCTGGCTTCCGCACCATACCAGTCCGATTCCCACCAAATTACGCCATTGGAAGATGACGTGCGGAATTCAAATGAAAATTGTGAGGTGTTTGATGAGAAAACCCTGAAATTTGTGCTCTTGGGCAGGAGCTTTCCTTCAAGTTCCGAGTATCAAACGTACGGTTCGGTCCCACCGCTCAGGTAGGTATACTCTGTGGTTCCGTTAAAGTATGCCGCTTGTTCACCGTCGACATGTCCTATAACAAAAAAGTTTTTTATGAAGATCTCAAGCCCATAGCAAAAGGTACCATTACATTTTCATTATCTGAGGACCAGACCTCACTACTGAGTCCTCCGATCAAACGTAATATGGGTGCATCCCTAGATCCACCTCCTACGATTCTTCACTGACAAGATGATCACTCATTATGCCCAGGGTGGTAAAGAGGAGCACGGCGTTGCAACCTAATCTTTTTGATGAAGGAATGCCAGAACATCAGAAGTATGCACAACTCCAATAACCGCCTGGGAAGAAGCTCATGAATTCCCAATAGGACTATAAGGAAGTTGTGCTTGCATACATACATATTCAAACACCATAAAGATACAGATTGAGAGCGGAATCTATGAGCGTCTCCCAGAACGGAATTGGTCGTAATGGGAACTTCATCCTTTATTCTTCACTGTGACGGCATTTAAGCACACCCCTGGGCTTACTGCACAACTTGGAGGAGAGAGTCGTTGAATGAGAGTCCCTACTTCAACCTCCTGCTTATACCTGACCGATTGATCGACCTTGGAGGTATGGGTGCTTCTATAACTGATATCACTGGTAGGGACCAACCTAAGGAACCATTGAGTAAGGGGGTCGTAAGGTTCAGGGTGACATGCAACCCATCAGATGTGCCAACCGCTGATTCACCGGAGAATCTGTCTGAAAAGCTCTTCGGGAGGCTACGATGACAACTTCCCTTTTGATGCCGGGTATCGGTAAACAAGTATTAATTGAAGGGCATGGATGAATGGAACATGTATGGATGGAACTATTTCATTCAGGAACCCTCATCAGCTAATGTATTCCTTCGCAGTTCCGACCAGGAACTGGTTCTTGACCCACGTACGTCAACACATCTAATCTATAGGATCCATTTTAGGCTTTTTGTTTTCAAAAGGAAAATTTCATATAATCCGATTAACCAGGTATGAGGAATGTGCGGAAAAACGGGTAAACAGTTGGAGCATCTCTCTGGCTCAGTTACAGAACAGGATCTGAGCTTAGGTTGAGTAAAGAGCGTGTAATCTCATAAATAATTCCTAGTACGAAGAAAGGAGCGCGTGAAAGACACCGCTAACTGAGATTAAACGCCTACGGAGGAAGAAATGGTAACATGAGGGCGAAGATCTCCGCGTTCTGGAACCTTCTCTGATGCCTAGAAGTAGAGGTGAATGGGAAGAACTGCTGAATTAGTTAGAAACGAAGTATTGCCACAAGCTCCACAGTAGTTTAACCCAAAGTGAAGATGGCGCGAAGGCTAGAGGCGTCGTTGAGTGGTTTCCTCTGCTCATGAGGTGGAATCCTACTGGCGCACTAGATCTTCTGCAGCTTGATGGGTTCCCAATCAGAAAGGCGGAACCACAGCTTTGACTAGTCTATCTAATGATGACCTAATCGCCGCCTCTAACCAAGGATGAAAGAATAAAGCCTCGGGCGTCAATCATCTCGTTCTGGAACCACCTCGGGCCGTAAGTTATGCTCCCCCGAACAGGGGAGGGTCCCCTCCCGGTAAGGTATGCTCTCGGGAAGAGCAGAGAGAATGCTTTCGGGGAGAGCGGAGAGAGAGAGCCGAATCGGAGCGTCCCAGCCCCGAACAGGGGAGCATACCTTACGGCCCCTTATAACAATAGGGTGGCACTAAAGGGTACGGCAAATCAACCTGAGCGAAACACCCCACAGCCGACTTTTACTCAGAAACATGGCGGCGTACTGGATGCGCATACACCCTATACAATGAGTTGCTGTGGCCAGCTGATGTAACTACAAGTCAGTGCTTTGAACACTTGACCATGCGTGTGTGACATTCCCTACTTGCCACCACACCACCCCTCCTTGCTGTCGCAAACATGTATCCTAAGGGCTATCTAAAAAATTTAGAAGAATTTCGAAAAGAGGGTGTTCAAAATTATTACCCTTCAAAGAATTTAAACCTTTAGTTTTATCATCTGATATAAGCGCCTAACACCACGAGCCTTACCTCTGTATGGAATGCTTGGAGTGTCACAGCATCCTTGAATCCCTTCAGAATCGGATTCGTCTGTATCCACGTTCCTAACGACCATCTGCAATTCATGTATATGTAATAGCTCCATTCTACGATAGCATCTATTGAATCACCAGACAAGAAAAGCCAGATAATCGTTTGTAATTCAAGATTGACGCAAGCTTCATGACGCTCAACGTCCCCGTGATTTTGATTCCATTTCCAGCAAGTAAACCAATAGAATCAAGGCTCCTATTTATAATTAAAAATGAGTCGTTTTTTTGGTTTGAGCTTACATGATTTATGTGGTCTTCGGATTCCTTATGGATAAATTCTATTCGTCAAGAAATATGCTTCAGAGACGGCAAAATATCTGCATCTCTTAAATATGGCACAGAATCAGGGTGGCCGATGATTTTGGTGAAAAAAATTCGCAATTATTAAAATTTTTACTGAGGTTTACTGAGAAATATTGGTCAATACTTACAAAAATGATGAGCAATAGGGCCAAGGAGGTAGGGGCCCATACAACAGAAGTATTTCAGTGTGCCCTCCTCTTAGAATTTGTTTTATCTGGTTTTTTTTTGCTAATTGTACTCCTTCCACATGCACCTGGGCTCTGTGCTTTTTTTTGTTTGGAGTTTCATGGAACTTACATTTTTTTTCGAATTTCACTAAATATTTCTCATGTAGGCAGACTTAATAAAGACATAAAGACGTAGCAATTATTAGGTTTATGCATAATTATTGTGGATTTTCCCGCGGCTTTTTTTCTTCCAATAGAATTTGAATATTGAGTTCATGTTTTTTAGAAATGATCTGCTTTTCCTCTACAAAAATGTACTCAGAAAACCATCCACATATTCGCGAAATTAGGCTCTACTACTTCGAGGAAGGTTGGAATGTGGCAGAGTCATTCCGCGATCTCAGTAACTTTTCGGTGATGGAACAACCAGCCAAAATAAAAATCTGCCATATTCACAGCAGAAACTGCTATAGATTGTCTCGTCAACCGTTCGCTGCAAAAATGGCTGGGGAATAGAAGTTACGTCGATTTGGATGACTTGATGGCCGATGTCATGGCGTATATCGTCCGTAAGGATCGAAACTTCGCTTTTGGGATCGATTAACCAATCAATGGGAAGCAGTGCTTGATGTAGATGGTAAATAAGTTCCGGGGTAATTATCGGAACATGGTTTTGTGGAGTATTTTTATCTTCTCGTTAAATAAAACTTGTTGGAAAAAACCCGCAATAATTATGCATCAACCTAATAGTAAGTGAATAAGTAGATTAATAAAACGAATATCTTACTGATGAATTCTTCCACTCAGTTTAAAGCAGTTCTTTGCTCCAGTAGAAGAGAGCGCTTTGAGATAATGGAGATAACGCAGGGTAGCGAAGATTTTGTGCACTATAAAAGTCTACAGTCCTCTGGTCCCTCTAGCCAATCTCGTCAAAAAATACGCCCCGCATATGACTTCTACTCAGAATCGTAATGGCGTATGGAATGCGTATGCGGCCAATACAATGACATGCGGTGACCAGCCGATGTACAGGTCAAAGCTTTTATCCTCCCAGACAGTCTGATACCAATTAAACATCCCCCGAACCATGTATGAATAATAGTGCCCCACGTGACCCTACCCTGGCTCTAGGCCAGTTTCTGCAATAGTTTGCGGGATAAGTTTTTTCTTTAAGTGCAATGCTTTTAGCGTCTCGTCGGGGTCTCACATATTTAATCGTTAATTTAATCATTTCCGATAAATTATAAAGTAGATTGGCGCTCTGAAAGTGCAACTTGTTTCACTTTTTCATTAAAGTTTCTTAAAAGCCCCCCTCCCNCCCCCCCCCCCCCCCCCCCCTCTCCCAATCCAAGTGATCACAATTTCACGTCTATACAAAAGGAGCATTTGAAAAACTGAAACTGAGACTGAAAAAGCAAAATGAGTGGAAGAATTCAACAGTTAGATATTCGTTTTATTCATTTACTTATACATCTACTATTAGGTCGATGCATAATTATTGCGGATTTTTCATTAAATTTTATTTAGTGAAGCAATAAAAATACTGAACAAAAACATGCTCAAATTATTACCCCGGAACATGTCTACCATCTACGTCAAGCACTGCTTCCCATTGGCTAGATAGTCGGAAGAGCATTTTCTCGATGTTGCTCAGCTCCCTTTTCCAGATTCCGCCTGCACTCAATCTCCAAACGGAATCGTAGTGCCAATTGAATGTGTTTTTGTTTTTACCTAGAATGGTCAGCTGATGTACTGATCACTCTTATGCTTTTATTCATTTGAAAAGGGTCTTGGAAAGAGAAAGGGCAGCTGAAAATTGAAAACGGAAAGATCTCGTGTTGGCTATAGATCAAAAGTTATGTTTCCTGCAAAATGTTCTCGATAGAAGAGGTCTTAAGGAAGAATATGGATGGCAAGAGCCCATCTATGAAGGTATTCCCCAGCCAAAGAAGGGAATAAGGCGACTTCCCCGTCAAGCAGACCTACTTCGAGCAGATACCAAACGAATAGTCCGCGAACATCCTTCTTTGGACCAGAGAAGAACTTCATGCAAACTGAATGAGTTAGAGTAATATGAGTGAGGATAAATTCTAATTAGATGGAGAACAAAGCGTTTGACACCCATAGAAAGTTTCCACGGTGAATTCATTTTTCTACTTCCTGAAAAACTCTTCAGAACTGGGCTGTAGCATGGGAGAACTCAGGCAGGAAAACCCTCCAAGTTTCTTATGCTCCAGCAGCTAAACCCCTTCCTTTTTTATATTTTGCTCGAGCTTCTTTTCCGTCTAATCACCCATCCTGAATAAATTCAAGAAGAACTCTCATCAGACTTCGCGAGTAAGGAAAAAAGGGGTTGCACTTACTCTTAATTGTAAGACCTGACTGACAACACTGCATTCCCACAGCTTTCGGAATCTATTTTTTGAAGTTCATCCCAACAAATAAGTTTTTCACAACAAGTACAACCTGGTTGGACTTTAAGTAAATTGAAAAATGAATTAATTATGCCTTCAGACTACAAGACCTGGCATCCCATGGCTAATGAGTTTCTGTTGAAAGTTGCACACCTGCATGGAATCTATGAAAAAGTCAATTCGCTATCTGAGGAAGAACATCGTACCGTCTAGACAGAGTAATGGATAAATAGCAAGCCAGGGTTAGCGACAGGTTCAACCCCTGCCCTGAATGGAGTGATTCACTCATTTCTCGGTAATCTCAATCCATTTCTACCAAGTTTTCAAGTCGATCAGCTGTTGACTCCTTTTTGTGAAAGTATGAATGCAGCGACTAGTATGCGTCCTGGAAAAGAGTTTAGCCAAGCCGGACATCCCAGTGCTTTCTGAAGAACCGGCGATATTGTCGCCTACTGGCGGACAGAGAAAAGTGATAGTATCACAAATAAGTAGCTACTAAAGTTCTAAAGTGTATACTGTATTATCAGTTCTATCTGGCAACCTGTAGTTAGTGTCACCTCGGTCACACCATAGGCGAAGATCTCATTTTCTCACGCTCGAATGCGAGAAATTTTGATGAACTGCAAGCTGCATTACCCTTCATGATGAATTGCTGACGGAAAAAACATGACTATCAGGTTTGGGAAGTGAAAAAGACTAGCTCTTCTTCTTGTTTGAACCTTGATGAAACGTAATACTAAAATTCGAGAAGAAGAGGTTTTCAACTTCTACTGGCACAGGAGAATTAGAAAGATTGCTGCCCCGATTACGTCAATCTCCTCAATCATGCATATGAGATACTATCGGACAAAGATAGTTACATCCTTACAAGCCTCTTTATCTTCTGAATCAACTAAATCAATCAAGGTCCTAGAGCTGAAGCTGAAGGGACAAGAGGAACTAACGACCAGATCGACCAAGTATTCCAGCCCCGGACTATCGGGTGTTCGCGAGTCAGCTGGCCCTACCCCACTGCCCCCTTAAGTGCTACATTTGATGGATGAAACTTGCTGGGAAACTGACGGCTATCAGCTTTTTCACTTTTTACTCTGACCCTTTAATTTCTAGTCCACGCGATCTACTACATTCCGGATATACTTGCATCTTAAAGCCGGTAATGCACTTCTTGCACTTTTTGGAATGAGTTTGGCCTCAGAAATAACCATTAATCACCCATTTATACTTTTTCAATTTTATTTTCATATTTTACCATTGATGGTGATTGCATTCCTCATCTGATTTATCTGCCTTTCATGTTTACACTTTTTGGCCATTCGTACCAATTACCGTATTGAGATAATGATGTTGAAAGGTGTTATGTGGGTGGGCGTTAATGTTATCAAAAATTACCATTACTTATTACCAATAATTACCAAACTTTACATCGAGCTCATAACACCTTCCCGAGCATCACATCGAGATTTACTTTATTACCAGCATATCGCTGATGAATGGCAGTTTTTGAGACGAGATTGAGAACGCTTCCGAATCCCATTTCCCTAAGAGGCTGTCTTTTATCAAAAGACTCTCACACCGATTTTCTTTCTTTCTTACCCGAACCCTTTCTCTCGTTCTTGGAAATTCCTGAATCAGATTGCTTCCCTGATAGCTCCCATGCTCATCGTTCGTCTTGATGGCAATTACATTCGATTCGAACGAAGAGCTTAGTCTGCTTACTAGAGACCATCGGCTTAAATGAACATTCTGTTCCGGCAACAAGATGTTTTTAATGGATTAAAATTTGAATATGAAAACCGGAGTCCATAAGATTTCATTTTTGAATTTTTTGATCAGTGACCAGTGAAAAAAATGAATCAAAAGGAACTGTCAAAAAGGTAAATCGAACTCTCAACCTGTAGTTTCCTCCAGGTATTGCACAAATCGGAATCGGATGTAGGCTAGTGGTATCAGGCTATTGGATGAAAGGATAAAATTCAGACTTGACTCAAACCCATACGTGAGTGTTCCCTGCCCTGCACCGTACTCTACCCTTTCCTATCCACCTGCTTCTTCGTGTAGTTCCTAAAACGATCAGCGCTGATACGTAAATAATTTACGTGGATTACTAAAAACCTGCTTGCCAAGGGACTTCAATTGAAGGCATGAAGGCATAACTTATTCAGTTTTCAATTGACTCTGAGCTCGAACAATCGGTACCCGTTGTAGGAAACTTTTTTGTTTAAATGCTAAAAGGATAAAGAATAAAGCCTTTTGGCGGTAATCAACCCCGTCAGAGGGATGCGCCCCCGCATTCGACTTAATTTCAGAATCCTGCTGACGTATTGAATGCGTATATGGCCTATACAGTGACTTGCGGTGGCTAGCCGATGTACAAGTCAGTGCTTTTATCCACCCAAACGACTTTGGTACCAATTCACCGACCCAGGAGAGATGGAAGGCTTGTTGGCCCAGCCGGATGCCGATCCGGGATTCGAACCCATGACCATGCGTGCGATATGGTGCGCCACTTGCCACTACACCACCTCCGCCCTTATTGTTTGGATAAACTTCCAAAAAATTGGCTCTCATAGGCTTGGGAGACCACGGACATTGAACTGTAAGAATCAAATTTCGACAGCTTCGCAGCCTCAAAATCAATGACACAGTTCGTTGGGTCTGTTCTACTCGGCAATCCTTAAGTGTCCTTCAGGTCCGCCACCTTGAGTCGCCTTGATCCTTTGGAAAGATTATTTGAACAGCTAAATATCCCTGAGGGCCTCCGCCATACCTCTTCCGCTCGGTTTTCGTTCAAGACCAAAGTGCAAAGGGCTATCTGTGACGGGCATATGCATATAGCAATTTTCAGAGATAATCAATATTCAAATCAGTTTTTTGCCTTTCCAGACACATTAGGCACTAATGAATCTTCTCCGCAGACATGAAAAAGCGTTCGCTCGGAATGGGTCGCTTCCCTTCTGTAGACGTGCCATCCTGGGTTTCTACTTTTGAGTCTTTCAAACGGATTGCCTACGCAGGAGGAAGTGGTTTCGAGAACCTCTCGAATCCTTTTTCCAACAGAATTTTCTGGGTTTTCTCAGCTCAGGCATAAAGGAAATGCATTTTCACGAAAGCTGAAGCAAGTGAACGAGCGTTTCCGGAAGTGAGGGCTAGGTAGAGGGTAAGGAGCTCATTACGAATTTCAAATTCATGAGACGGCAAAGGTAACTAAAAAATGAGCCCAGCTGGAAAGAACTGTGGACTCGCTTAATGGCACTCCCCTTGCCGCGGAAAGTATGAGTAAAATCGCTTCCAGTAGGGTCAAGCATGACACGGTCGAGGAAGACCTGCCCACAAAGATGACATGGCCACGTAAAGGTAGGGCTCAGCAAAACCTCTTCCCATCCCACATTTCCGCTTCTCGAGCTTTCCAGCCCAATTCCCCAACGCGAGGCTAATGTGACTCCATACGACTGCAGTCCTCTCTGTCCATTCGAAGATACTGGATTCCTCGGATTCTCCGGCTCGACCCGGGTAACAACATTTCAAAGAAGTAGTATACCGTACTAAGCTTCTCTGGACCACTGAAAAACACATGTCATCAGAAATTTCCGGGATGCGCCGTGCTTTTCCGTACCCCACTTAGTTTTATGAGATGAATTTTCACAAAATTCTACAAAAACATTTCTAAATAACAAAATCTGTCACGGAACTACTCTTAGTTTTAATATTACTGAAAGGAATATCAAAAAAGCTGTCGTAATTTATCAGTCAAAAACACAAATCTTCAAAATGGGATCGAAAACCACGCATACATACTCAGGATAAGTGTCTGGTAAATGTGAATTCTTCGATAACATCGCGAAAATTCCTCGGAAGTCCCTAAAATCCCATAATCTCATCCCATCTGTTTGTGTGACTGGCATTTTGCTTTAAGCGTGTACGAGTAAGCCCACGCTTGGATTTAGAATCATATGGGCAAGCCTTTCAGAAGCAAATTTGTTACTGACGTCGACAAAAAGTAAGTTCCGAGCTCTTTTCAACCCTGAATTTTGAACTCCCTATTGATACCGAGCGAATTCCCAGAGCAATGGGATTACGGAGGTGGAGCAGTGTCAAGGATTACCCTATCGCATGTATGCTAGAGAGATCGAATCTCGGACAGATACCCACCTAGACCAACTTTGCCATTGGTCAGTTAGAACCAGACTTATCTAGGAGAAGAAAAGCACTGACTTGTACATGAGTGGGCCTTCTACAGTCAGTGCGTGGTCTACATACCCATTCAGACACCATTACGATTCTGAGTGGAAGTTGAATGCATGGGCGCATCCTAAAAAGAGAGATCAATGCCAAATGTCCTCGCCCTTCAGGTCCTCTCGTCAACCTAGCAGGTAATACCACTGTGAGCTGGCGCATTCCTTCCCTTCCCTCTAGCCACAGGTTCTGAAAGGCCCTGAATAGAGTACCCTGTGATTTATGGTGCTTGTATATGTAGTATGCTATGAGCTCTAATACAACTAAAATGCCCTCCCAAGTATGTTGTGGGGGAGTGGACAGGAGGCTGAGACCGACTTGATGTCGACTCCGCCCTCTTCAGTCACTTTGTTATGAGAGTACTGCGAGCGCTCATCGTCCTTCTACTGGCCGCTGTCGCCATCAGCCAAGCTTTTGTCATTGGTGAGTCTTGAGTCTTCTACTAAAGAGACTATTTCTACCGAACCTTACAACCGGACAACACGTACATTTTCTAGATGGAGGTGATGATTTGAGCGGTCTTGTCGATTATCCATTACCAAAGAGGAATTTCCAACATATCTGGCGTAATATCGAGATGCAAATGCCTGGTGGACAAAAACGAACCGAATCACTATCTCGTGCCAGAGCTAACGCTTATTATCGTCTCGGCTGATTCGCTTCTTTTACTTACTACATATGATCGGTGAGGCGTTGTTACCTTCCTAATGTCTCGAAGTTTCTTTAGATACTTTTTGATAGCGTAGAGTTGCTTGAGGCTGAATGTGAGCCTGTTCCAGATCAACTGTCGGTGTCTTCCGGTTGATTCTAGTCTATGAGGAGATCTCTATTTGCCCTGATGTGATGAGTTGTGTTGCTGGAATTTTGTATAAAACGGTTTTTCTTGGATATTTTGTTTCTTTCAGGATACTCGCATAACTCTCTGTATTTTCTCGCTTTTTGACCTTCATTAACTCTCACTCCACCAACGTGCCCATAGCGAATTTTCCATTATCAATTAAGAAATTGGTGGTATCACTGGGTATCACAAATTATCATATGATATCATGGTATAGTATCATAAATTCCTATCATCAGTAAGGGACAAAATTTCAGACCAATTCGCAAATCCCTCGTATTTTTTGAACCATCTGACGCCTCAAGTGAAAAGGACCGAAGAAATAAGTGGATTAGGAACGGTG